AGGAAACTTGCAGCATGAGATCTCCAGGGTCAGCTCTAAACACTGAGCCCACACATAGTTGTAGTCCTGCATTCCTCCTGAAACCACAAACGACTTTAAATGCTCACATTCTTGCTTTGTCAATGTATTGCTGTGTCATCCAAGTAAATGTTTCAACATTGAGTAATAGACTTTTCAAAGGCACTTTGTAACGTTACACTTAATGTGAAGTTAACATGTAGTTGTACACACGCACTTACCCTGCAGAGGATACCACTGATAGCCGTTGGTGATGCCGCTGCTGAAGCTCTGCAGGTCACTGCAGTGGTTTCCTCTGTACATCTCCGTGTGGTTGTAGGAGTACGTCTTCGCCAGGTGGACAAACACATCATCATCAGGGCTCACGCTCCTGTAACCCTGCTGCTCGCTTCCTGAAAGCACAAACCGTCCTGTTAATCCTCACATTCACAGCATCTAGGACTTGACTATTGTGAGAGTCATTCAAGACTACACAGAAACTAAAGGGATGCGGTGCAGTAACTGACCTCCGTTGCTGTTGTCGTATGGATAGCTGGCCACCAGTGCTCCTCCGTGCAGATTAGCAGATAGCACAAACGTCTCACTCTTCAGCCACTCCATCACCGCTCGCACCTCAGACTCCCTCTTCTGCTCGTTACTCTCCTCAAAAGCGTCTGGAAAATTGCGGTTCAGGTCCACTCCGTTCTTATTGTACCTGCAGTGCAGAAAAACAAACACACGATTAAACCTTTACTTCATTTACAGCAATACCACAACAATTTACCACACCTCCTTACACCCCGCACCATTATTCATGCAAACTATACACATCTGGTTAATTACTTCACTTTAAAGTCCCTTCATCTATCATCAATAATTAAAAATACCCAACAACCCTTTAGCAAGCTACACATTTCACAACCTATTGCTGGCCAGTTTTCACACAACTAACCACCTCACACAATGGCCTTTCCACAACAAATGGCAAAAGGTCAAATGCCCAGAGCTATCTGCTAAAACAGTGGCGGTGACGACTGGATTTTTTTTTTTTTTGGGTTTCACTTGCTTCAGAGCGCCGCTTCTAGCCGAGCTGCCAAACCTAACAGGAAGCTCGTAGCAAGGCAGTAACGATCAACCGCAGTGCGTAAAAATACCATCCTCATCATCATCATCATCATCATCATTACCAGCGTACACAGCTGCCGTTCTAGCGTGCTTTCGCTCTTGCTCAATCCCTCTCAGTGGTTACCCACCATCATCAAAACCGCATCAGATCTGTTTCCAATTGCGCATCTCAACAGGAGGATTTAGGTACTCTCTGCCTGACAGATGCTTTGAATACAAGGATGTGGCTTTGAGGGCATTACATCAGGTCTGCTGTCTCCAAATTTAAGTCTAAATCAACTGGACGCATTAAGCTTGCCTGGCACTTTAATTTTTTTTTTAAATGGTGTGCGTGTACGAAGCAAATACACTACATGCCAACTCCATCTCTTTGTTTTCAGTGTTTGCCCTTCAATAATTGGGTTTGCTTTACTCATGATCAGCGATCATATTTCAAGCTCACAATAAATCATACTTTAATGCTGCTCATCTGTAATCATTCAAATGAAATCTTAAGCTGCAGTATGTATGAATGCCTCATCATCTAACAAGCACCTTCTCATCTCCCAGTCACACCTCACCACACACTCCATTTAGTTTCTTTTTCCTATGCATTCCTGTCATTTAGGATTTGACAAACTCACTTACCGGCCTACTGTATAAATGCAGTCTGGTTTGGAGGACTCGAAGCCGTCCGGGTTCATGGAGGGCAGGATATGCACGCGACTGCTGTCCAACAAACGGGTCACCACTGAATCGCTCCCATAATGACTGGTCAGATAATTCACCAGCTGAAGCAGTAACACGCGCCCTACAACCTGCAGAGACAAAAATATTGGATATTACGGATAGCCTACAGTCAAAAAGCACACAAAATTAACATTGCTGTTGGGACACAAAGCACAAAAAAAAACAAAAAAAAAAAAAAAACCCAAGACACCTGCCTTCTCTTCCTATAGATACCTTTGTGCATTCAGGACATTACCATCTGCCAGAGGACCTTTGTTTACGAATACATTCACTATTCACATCTAAACCATGGACCACTTGCATAAACAAACACGGCAATGGTCTGGTGTACTGACAAACCTCTGCTTATCCTGAGGATCATCCGTTTTCTAGGAAACTACAGCTGAGTGATACCAAGGTTAAAGTGCACTGTCGAGCACATTTGTGACGCCGGGAGACCTGTTATTATATAGCACAAGTTCAGACTGGTGGAGCAGTGGGTTAAACTGGCTGTCCTGGAGTCATTTACTCTGAGTAACAGAGTATGATTACAGTCATCCCAGACAGCTGAAACAGACCACAGCACACTTCATAACAGGCTTTCAGACAACAGCAACAGTCTCACTCTGAAAAAAAAAAAAAAAAAAAAACACAAACATGACAATGCTTAAACAATGGAGCACATTTCCTCACACGATCAAAATACTTCTCACAACAAACATCTCCTCCAGCAATCAGACCAAGCCGTAAAGCCTGCCTTCCACATCTCGTTGGCAGATCTCAAAACACCTTCAACCTACTCAACTCACTTTACATTACTAACAAGTACTTTATGTACCGCTAACGCAAACGAGTGTCATTGCTTTCCTTTGTTAAAACATGCATTGATGTGGTCGAAACCTTACTGATGTGGTTTGCCTTTTGTTTACTGCACAGAGTTAATCTACTGTGAAGTACCACAATGACATCCGACAACTGGGTATACCAAATGCTAAACACCCACGTCAAACAGCACACCCTCAACACCCCTGACGCAAAATTGCAAGCCCCTCAGACTGTTACGACTTAACGCAGGCAGGGTCTCTCAGTTGGCATAAAGACAACAAAATCACCTAAACAGTGGCTCGTCAGAACTCCTTTCATAAGACACTTCTAATAGGATCAAACAAAATGCCGATTGTCAAATTAAGAGCCCGCAGAGAACAAAGAGGAACTGTTGGGAAGCTCTCAGCAGGACTCAAAGGTCTGTATATTTACAATCGTGCTTTCATGAGGTGCAGGCACTGGACCGGGTCTGGCCTGAGAAGCGTGCGCAGCAATAATTTAAGATGCAAGTAAAACCACAGCTGGGGAAGAGGAGAAAAAAAAAAAAAAAAAACCCATGCTCCTATTGACTCCACTGGCCAATGTCATGCGACTGTTGCACATTTACTACACTTAACCAACAGCGACAAACATTCTTGGAAAGGTGAAGTAAATCCTTAAAATTAGCTAAATGCGGTTAAGATTATTATTATTATTATTATTTTCACTCAGGCACAAAGTAATGCAATTATTTACAAAAAAAAAAAACGTTATGACCGATTGCATACAGGACTTTTTTGTTCTTCTATGCCGCAAAGAAATCCATACCAACCCTGTCTGGGTTTACAATCTGTACTCTCTTTAGCCAATGTTTAAAATACACTTTAACATTTAGGTTCACATAAAAGGATTGGGGTTTTGTCTTAAAGGGTCATAAAGAGACAGACTGTCCTAACAGTGCTTCAGCAGTCCATTTGACGTCTGGCAAGCATCACAGCCCGATGACTCATGGGTGCTAATGGCCTATGGTTGAGGATATTTTACTAATGTTTACAAGTTTACCATCATTTCAAATTCACCTCCCATCCTGAACCGTCAGATGGTTTCCTTCAATTGCATGATTTGAACAGTGCTCCGCATCCAGACAGGACGCAGTCTAATGAGGTGACGCTGTGGTGCCACAGCTGCTGTCAGACGAGCAATGCTTAGACTTGGACTAAAATTAACACCAAATTACAGCATGTAATTGAAAATGTCATTTTCAAATGGAAAATTGTTCATTTACACGCACCTACACCTCCGACTATGTCAAATTCACACTATACAACTTGCTATCTTTTCCCACACAGTTACTTACGCAAACTGAGTCACATCTTTTATCTAGTCTCCTCTCAAAAACAGGAAGTACTGGATTCACAATGCTTCCGAGTGGGTGGAGGGAGGCTGAGGTGAGGGTCACAGTCCACTGCTCCTCACTGGCATCCCTACTGGTTTCTCGGACTGTAATGCTTGTGCACAAAGCCCGTTTCCCATACACCCCTTACCGAAAATGCCCCTCAACACCACAACTATTTAAAGGAAGCCTCAGTTTCCAAATTCAGCCACATCTAAACACACATTCAAGACCGGGTTCTTTGGACGCGCTTGAGTTTTACAAAAAAAATAAATAAAGAAATAAAAAAAAAAGAAAAAAAAATTTTAAAAATAAAAAAAAAAAAGAGCCTATGTCCCAGCTACAATGCAAACCAAACTACATTTCTGAAAATGAGAAACAGAGTTACCTCGTTTCCATGGATGTTGCCCACATATTTGAATTCTGGGATGCCCGTTCGGTGTTCTCTAGGATGTTGACCCAGTATCAAGACCCACAGCTCTCTTCCTAGGAAAAACAAAACGTAAATGTTAATCGACTGCAAACAAATGTTTCACATGGTGAATAACTGCATTTGCAACTGAATTAAGTTCTGTGGATCTTCTGCCGGTCACATGACTCAAGTCTTGCCGTTTCCACAGTTAAACAGATAATCAATGTTTTTCCACACTTTGGACAGGCACCTGGCAACCCAATCCCAAGTAATCTCACGTCTAGCTCTTATTCTCTACATGTCAGTCTCGGTCTCCCTCAAGACTACTGAATATGGACTTCTCATTTTCACAGAGCAAGTTAAAACATGTTTGCTTCTGGACTAATTTCCAACACAAGCAATGTTTGGTCGACTCGATGGATTTACTTATCCATTTGTGATGCTTCACATTGGAACTGACCACAGGAATGGAGAAAATTGAAGGAAAAAAAAAAATATATATCAATTAACAGCGTTAACTAAAACAATGAAATATCCAATTTATATACACATCACCATAACAAGCCTGCAAACACAACACGTTTGAAATTCATCTTCCACACCAGCCTACCTGGGGGAATTCCAATGCATACCTTAAACAAAGATCAAAGACCGCTAAACTACACACAGGCAAGAAGAGTAGGGGCCTAATTGTGCACATCCAACTAAACCATGATGCGTGTGGTTCATTTTAACCTTCTGTAGCATAGACCTCCATAAACCACTGTTTTGGATTATATTTTAAGTATCCAATTACATTTTCCATCAAGTATGATGGAAAAAAAATGGAATCAGATACTTTAAATATATTACAATACACAAGCACCAAGACTCGTTAATCATTTTCTCATACAAAGCATCCTAACCATTTTCCTTGCTGAACATACATTCCAATACCATGACTGTTTACACATACCATCGGTACACCTTTCCACAAGCTTGTTTTGGCATAGCCCTGCTCACACAGCCTCCACATGGAAAAAAAAATAAATAAATTTTTGTACATTTACAGCCAAGTAAGTGTCAAAAGTCAGTGTTCTTTTAATATAATACTTAAACAACTAAAACACAAAGCATTCTTCCACTGTGAACAAAGCCTCATTTTATTGGTGATGACTCAAATGTCAGCATGAAATTTCACCCAATCTACCATCTATTTCTCTTATCCACTTAAAAAAAAAAAAAAAAAAATAAAAAAAAAAATTAAACCCAATACATCGAAATGTTTAATCAAATGTTGTAACTGGAACCTCTGCTGAAAATCTGTTTAAATGACCTCCCCTCTCTTCATCCTTTCTAAACTCTGCACCTGCAATAAAGGCCATCTACACTTTCAAGAGCAACACCCAAATCTTATATTTCACTTTAATCAAAAGAATCAATTCCCAGCCCTAGATTTTTTTTGGTGTTTTTTTTTTAAACCCATTAGGGCCGGATGCATGCCACAATACACAACACAATGTCACTACTTCAGTTTCAACATTACACTGCAGAGTTGACTGCCTTACTACCAGGCAAAAGAAAAAGATCAAGGAAGGAACTGCTATTTCCTACACATCTGAAATGCAATTACTGATGTTTAGCAAATAAAATGTGCAGAATGATCAATGATTAAAGGATCTCTGTAATCTTCATTAAGCTGAAGCCAAATGACAAATGGCTTTTGTCTGCTTTGAGGGAACAAATAAATAAAAAAATAATAAATAAAAACCTACAAGCACTTTAGCTAATTAAGCCCAACTAATCAGGCATATGAAACATATCACATCAGAGTCATAGCTAGCAGTCGCCCATGTTCTTGCCCTGGTGGGCAACTAACACTGATTAGGCCAAGAAGGGCAGTCAACAAACAAGGCCGTTCTTCCAGGCTAAGCAGCTGGTGTCCTAGATTACCTCCGGTCAGCTCGGGTCTTATTTCCTGCCCTTAAATAGGTGACATGGTGGGATTAGGACGAGGGTTAGCTTGACCAGGCAAGAGCTCACAATGGCTACACCATCTCCTTCCAGTCTGAAGTTATTGGAGAAACGGCCTTTACGATCAGGAACAAAGGCTCCCAGGAGATGACCAATACGTGCAAGACTGCATTAAAGATCGCTTTCTTGCAGTAAGACTCCATTAGCTAAATGAAGAGGCACCGCAGTGCCCTTGGATTAGCTCTGGACATTACCTGCATTACCAGAAACAAACTCAAGTGGGGGAAGCAGAGGTTTAACTTTAGGTTTTAATCAACTAAAGTGGGCTCGGGGGTGAGCCTCAGGGCGCACCCCTTGTCTGGAGATGACCAAAATAAGATTTGGTTTGAAGCTTCAAGGACCACCCTTATAGAAAATGAGGTCGAGAGAATGCATACAACTTTATATTAGCATCAAAATCAGATGGTAGGAGAGAGAGGGGGGACAGACTTGGCAGCAGATGTGTACTGCTCAATGATGGTTTTGTGTTGAGCCAAAAGAGCAACCCGATCCGTGGACCGAATTAACTTAAAATGTCACGGACTACCAGCGCCTTCGCCAGAGATAAGGCAATGTCTAGTAATCGCCTTGTAATCTTACCTACTAGGTCCATGAGCTAGGTGGCAACAGTTACTAAAAACTTAAAAAGCAAAAAGCAGGTTACTGCAACATTTGGTCAAAAATAGCTTTAATAATTATCTTCTTTAAAACAAATCACAAACTAAAGTCAACATGAAGAGCTCCAAGCTTATCCCGGTCAAACATTTACCATTACAACTACTGTCCTGTCTGTCTTCTGAACGTAAACCAAAGTTCAGCTTAATTTGTTAAACCACCCTCTCGGCAAAGGAGCTGCATTGTGCTCCAGTGCGGCCGCTGTTTACAGGCTCGGTTTAATTCCGTCAGATTGACCGTGTGTGGAAAGCTGCAGATCTTTTGCTGCGCTCATTTCCCTTTCAAATAACAAATGGGATGAGCAAACTAGCCTTTCAAACATCCAGACAAAAACAGCCTACTTAAAAACGCTCTTTCAGTATGGCCATATAGGCGTAGAAAGAGACCTCTGAAGCATGGCATTGTAGCTCCCCTGGACGCTTTTGTCTGGGTAATAGAGTAAAACTGGTCTGTCTTTACAAGCACCTGGGGAGAAGCATGGGAAACTAGCGTTACATTCAATTGTTGCTGATTATGTAGACGATATCAACTGCTTAACTACACTTCAGATGTGTTAGTGTAAACTTTAGTCAGACATCAAATATCGTGTCTGAGTCATCAAGTACACTATCAATACACTTCTAAAATTTGTTTTACGAATCATCATTTATAAATGATGCCTTATAAAGATTGTGTCATTTCAGTATACTGGAACTGAAATCAAACTGCATAAATAGGATCAAGCAGCCCAACTGAAAGGGCTGATGGGATTGATCAACACTTATACAATTTTCATAGGACACTAGTAAAGACCAGTGAGGCATAACACCAGTATTCACACATTAAGCTACATTCTAAACGCATTAACGTTATAGATAATGTGCTAATCATGTTATTTGGAACATTAAGAGATTTAAATTATCAAAACACAATTTAAATACATTTTATAATAATTGGATTTGGACCTTCAAGCTCACCTTTTTAAAACCAAAATAGCAAAACTTGATTACATTTTTTTTTTTTTTTAATCAAAGATCTTGTTAAGCACCCGATTGAAACTTAACTCAGAATTAAACCGTGTTCAAATAAACGCAACCTTAAGCAAAAGACAGTCGATTGGCCCATGTATGCGCACCCAGACCTTGACCAACCCACACAACTTGAGCAAACTGCCTTTACAAAACTATTTGCACAACCAAACGCATTAAATGTTCACATTTAAACTGCATACCAAACACCTGCCAAAAACCAGCTTGCCGTTTAAATCGATCGGCGTTTACACATGAATACAAACTTTCAAATAAACACACCTGCAAGTCAGGCAAACACTCAGGTTGCCGCGTGGGATACTCACACGTCGACCAAGCGTGCAATTTCTTTCATACTATGTTTAGGAAACGTACTAACACTTAAAAACTTACATTTCACAAAATAATGGCGGTTCAACTTGCTCAGCGCACGACGACGACGCCGCCGCCATCGCTGACCAAAGGCCTTCCGTGCTCCTAGACCGGCGTCCCACTGGAACACGCTGCTCGAATTGAATGAATGAATCCTCCGTTTAAATAATACTGTCGCCGCCTACGGGCGCCGGTGTGACCAATAGAACGCGAACGCGGGAAAATTGATTTCCGATTGATAATTATGACGTGTGACTGTGACCAATGGATTTCCGATTGATAATTATCACGTGTGACCAATAGAAAAACGCCACATCGCTCTGTCAGACAAATCTGCAGGTTTGCCTTGAATTCATTATTGTTGATTGTCTCATTATCATGAATGTCTTATTTTAATCCTTGCATATTTGTACATCGCTTCTTTTCTTTTGTTCGGTCAGATTTATGTTTGATTCATAAACAGCACATCGTTCCTAGCTGTTTTATTTACTTTAATTCATTAAATGGGACATTTATATTGATATACATTCAGTTTTATGGGCTATGTGAGCTAAAGATGAGATGTTCCATCAAATTAAATGTACTTAGGCCTGCACAGAATACTTAAATGTGGCCTAGGCCTAAGTGTCTACTTTAAAATGTCAAATAAGCTTTGTGAAAATAAAAGGTCAAATCATGCATGGAAATAATGTTTCTTCATCCAAAGTAACATTAATTTAGTAATTTTTTTTTTTTTTTTCTCCTTCGGCTTAGTCCCTTTATTTATCAGGGGTCGCCGCAGCGGAATGAACCACCTAACAGACACGTTATATTTTATAAAACAAAACACTTATTCTCTGAACTAAACTTATTAAAACACATAAAGGAGGACATGATGTGTTTTATTTTAACTGTCTAAAAATTATAAATAAAAGTAAATCCTAATGCTTTAAAGATGTCAATTGAATTTAAAGATGTAAATAAGGTTTCAATTGAGCGTTTTAAAGGGATAGTTCACCCAAAAATCTACATTTCCTCACCACTTACACACACTCAAGTACTTCTACATTTTTATAAACTAAACACAAAACTAAAGATTTTGATGAAGGTTGAAAAAGCAGCCACTGATACCTATACAGTAGGAACAAAATATACTGTTACTATGAAAGTCAGAGGCTTTATTACTATATTAGTCAAGATCAAATGATCTACTCTGCAAAAAAAATGCTTTTCTTATTTACAAGCAAAATAATCTGCCAATGGGGTAAGCAAATTAATATTATGCCAAAAGGAAAAACAAGATTATTTTGCTTACCCCATTGGCAGTTTATTTTGCTCGTTTTAAGGAAAAACTTACTTAATATTGCCATATTATTTCTAAAAACAAGACAATATGTTTTGCTTGTCTAGAAAAATCTTCTTGATTTAAGAATTGTTTGATATTTGGACTTGAAAGAAGAAAAAAAAATCTAAATCAGAAAAGCATTTTTTTTGCAGTGTACTTTTGTGTTACACAGAATGAAAAGAACAAACAACCCCTCAAACAGCTTTGGAACAAGTGAAATATGAGTAAACAATGACAGAATGTATAATCCTTGTTATAAATACTCCTATGAATAGATAGATGGAAGAATGGATGGATGGATGGATGGATGGATGGATGGATGGATGGATGGATAGACAAGTAGATAGAAGTAGACAGACAGGTAGACAGATGGATGGATGGATGGATGGATGGATGGATGGATGGACAGACAGACAGACATGTTCATAGATAGACACACAGATGGAAGGACAGACGAACAGATAGACAGATGGATGGATGGATGGATGGATGGATGGATGGATGGACAGACAGACAGACATGTTCATAGATAGACACACAGATGGAAGGACAGACGAACAGATAGACAGATGGATGGATGGATGGATGGATGGATGGATGGATGGATGGACAGACAGACAGACATGTTCATAGATAGACACACAGATGGAAGGACAGACGAACAGATAAACAGATGGATGGATGGATGGATGGATGGATGGATAGATAGATAGATAGATAGATAGATAGATAGATAGATAGATAGATAGATAGATAGATAGATAGATAGATAGATAGATAGATAGATAGATAGATTGTCTTGCTCAACTGATGTCTTTTGTAAATGACTGTACAAATGTGCAGAAACAAATAGCGCACAATCAAAATGCCTTATTAAACATTTATTGTTTGACCCATACCTGTAATTGTAAGGAACAAATTAAGGTGTTCTTCTTCACTTTAAAAGGCAGAAGCTGTACAAAACCTCAATCGATATTCATTCTGAAAAAGCTAGTCAATATGATGCGGATATTGTCCTGTCTAAAAAATATGATCCAGATATTTTACTTATGTTTTTAATGACAATAATATTTCTAAAAAACACATGGCAACTTTTTCATTTTTATTTCATACCAACAAACACAAAATAATAAATAAAAGGACAATTCTGATTTAATAAACAAACCCACAATCAATGTCTGACACCCACAAACACAAGCTGGACGCTCAAAAATTCAAGTATAGATGCATCATAAATCAACAGGCCCATTAAATTAGATGACAATCACACAGATAAATATAGAAAGCTCTCCAAGATCTTCTTCATCCTCCGCTCCAGAAGCGCTGGCTCAGTTCTCTGCTGTATCTGGCTTACATACCAATGCTGTTTTGCAGACTCATAAAAATATTTGTTGCACAATAAGCTCTCTGATAGAAGGCCAGCCATTCGTTTTAAACCTGTTGCCAGCATCTGTCACCATATGCCTGCCATCACACCCATACACGCTGTGTGCTCTTTCACATAGGGAGAAGAGGAGAACTCAGTGGAGATGCATGCAGGGAATACTCTCAGTGTATCTCATTTACCTTCAACAGACTGGCCGATGCTGTGGAGGTGTGTGATGTGAGGATACATCTTGTTGACGTCTTTCAGGTACTGCTCCATTTGGACGGTGTTGTGATAGCGAAACTCCAGAGCGTCCGTGGAGGAGCAAAACAACAGGCAGAACATGAAGACCAACATCCTGGGAGTGACACAATGGAGAAAACCTGATACACACACACACAGGTGACAGTAAAGTCATGAGCCCTTATCATCTTTCAGTTTCAATTGTGTCAGAGATAAAAGTGAGTATTACAGAAACTTTTAATAGATTTTAATGTAACAAATATATAGTGACAAGCTGCAGGGCATCAGCTCACTCGCTGTAGGAAAGTATTTGATGGCACTCTAATGCCCAAATTAAATATTGCAATGTAATTAACAATTATTTATGGTACATTTAAATGCCCTGGTAAAGTGAATCTGAGCATCATACTGTTAATCTTTCATTTGTTTTATTGCTTGCCTAGCACTAGCAGACAAAATCATTTTATTTTTAAAATAGATGGCAATTACATAACTTGTACAATCTATCTCACTGTCTATTCATCTAACAAAAAGTATGCATCTATTTGTCAAAAATATGCACCATCTATAGTTTCAATACCAATGTTTTAAAAAAATGCAGATATCATAATAATACGACTGTATAGTACTCCATTTACTACTAATAATCTAATCTAATAATATAATATAATATAATATAAAATAATACAATACAATATAATATAATATAAAATAATACAATATAATACAATATAATATAATATAACATGGCATATCCAGTTTACAGCATTAAAAAAAATACACCCACTTTGAAAATAAATATTTCTATCTCTAGACAATATATGTTGGTGCATCTAAAAAACAAAAGTGTGGTCAGCTAAAATCTTTACTAATTGAAGTTTAATAATTTGTTTTTCAATTCAAACAAGGTATTGTAAAAATAAATAATAATATATATTACCGTTTTTTGGTTAGCTTGTCAGTTTTATATAGGGATTGTTTTTTTTTTTGAGTGTGTGTTTTTTTTTCCTATTCTTTTTAAAATATTGTGTAATAGCAATTAATTTTCCACTGCATTTTCCATAATATTTTTATTTTCTGGAGAAAGTCTTTTTTTTTAATTGGGCTAGAATAAAAGCAGTTCTTTATGTTTTACATAACATTTTAAGGTCAATAATATTACCCCCCTATTTTTTATTGTCTACAGAACAAACCACAATTATACAACAATTTGCCTAATTACCCTAACTTGCCTAATTAACCTAGTAAAGTCTTTAAACTGCCATTTAAAGTGATAATCAGTATCTTGAAAAATATATCTACTAAAATAGTATTTACTGTCATCATAGCAAAGATAAAATAAATCAGTTATTACAAATAAAAAATATTATTTTAAAAAATGTCTTTAAATGTCTCAATTACAAATTCTTAACTATTATTAAAACTGTTATTTTTAAAAATGTCTTTACATTTTTTTTTCTCTCTGTTCAACAGAAATTGGGGGGAAAAATATATATAAACACAAACAAATAATGGAACATACATGCATACAAATGCTGTGTGGCAGTGTTTATTGCCAAAACAAAATCATACTGTATCTTCAACATCAGCAGTATACTAATATTCTTTAAACGATATTATATAACAGGTTTTGTCTGTTTTTTTTTTTTTTTTGTTTGTTTTTGTTTTGACTTTTGGAATAGGATACTGTCCATAATTTCTTCAAGAAAAAAAAAAATTAAATATACTGCGTTAGTGTGTATGTATGTATATATACGAATATATATAAAGTAAATATATATTCGAACATATTATGGTACAATATGAATCAAATAATTTAAAAAACACATATTGTGCTTTCTATACACGATAAAAAAAGTACAGCAACAAACTGCAGGTAGGCTATTCATTAACAAAACTTTACACGTCGCGCTTAATATTAATGAGTAAATGAGATCAGCTTTACCTCTGGCGTTTTTCTCCGCTTTTTCTCCGACAGTTTGACAGCTTCTCTCGTCTGTTTGCTTACTCCGCTGTCATTATAACAGCTCATATGGGAATACGGTTCTTAGGTCGTCGTCCTGCCCGTGTCATTGATAAAATGACGGTGTCTTCCATTGCGCAGTGACTTCTACTGACTGTAGGCTCGTCTGAGTGTGTGTGTGTGTTTGTGTGCATGTGCGTGTTGCAGCTGTAGTGAGGCGGAGCGCGCACATGCGCGCGCACACACACACACACACACACACACTATGACACTTGAGCAAAGTTGGTGTGTTTGTCAAAGACGCTCAGCGATGTTGACTACGTCGAAATACAGGCTGATTATAACTTTATATAGCTTTATATTCCGTTTATTAAAGATTATAGCTTTAATAAACGGAATAGGCAATATAACTTTGTAAAGAACAATTTGCATATTAAAATTCGCTGCCCAGAACCGAAATATAATGCAATTTGCATATTCGAGACTAAAGGCAAGCGCTCTTTTGTCGTTCTTACATCAGTTATAGCTTAGGCTAATGTTTAAATTTTTTTTAATTACATATTTTTTTATCCATTTGTTTAAATTAAAATTGCCTTAAACAGTTAATTAATAATAATACAGTTACAATAGTATATTTATAAAATGTTTTTGGAATAAAACAAAAACCCATATGATTGTCAAAATATTGTAACTAAGATGACTTTTTGTTTTGCTCCAGCAGCTATAAAACCCTAATAACACTCACAAATGATGTTTGCTCAAATTTGAGAAAACTAACTCATTCATTTTAGTCCTTCATGTTGCAGAAATCGATCATGTGGAACAAAGCATAAAAATAAAAAAGTGATGGTTTGCAGCCAGATCAGTTAATCGTATGTATGTATAACTTATTCATTAATACTAATAAAATGTCAAATCTAAGGTGTAACACTCTTCTCCAGCTGACTCCCTTGAGGCGACAAAACAGCATACGTGTTTCTGCAAGCTCATTCTTTACCCTCACTTACTGTATAATTACTGACTACACTGCTAAAACTCTTCTATGTGCGTATCATCCATAAAGATACTTTACAACTTTACAAAGGGTCCAGTTCTTTGGATAATAAACTTAAAGAGCTCATTTTAAGTTAAGTTTAAGTTGAGGAAAAGTTCATTTCTAAACAAACTTAAACTTCACCTAGTGACACAAGTATTTGTTGGTGTGTTTTTTTTTCCAATAACAGAAGATACCCTGAATTTCCTCCATGTTCTGTGCCAGAACTTAAACTTGTTTACAGTAAAAACAACAACAGCCGACGTGAGTCACTTCGAAATAGAGTTTTCCACTGACCTGACCTGCAGTGTCTTCTAAGAAATGATCCAAAAATGGTTCAGCCTACAATGGCATTGCTGACATTTCTTGGTCAATAGCAGTGCCTAAAACTCAGCTCAAGCAGCTCAGAACAAGCGGTTTAGTCTTAAGTCTGAATGTTAGTCAACAGAAGTCTTTCATTCTCACACAAAATTACTACTCGCATGGATTCCAATTAAAAATGATTATTGTTGCGTGTTCACCTTGTTGTGTCTGAGTTGAGTGGTTAGATAACAGTCCATCAAAGTTCAAGTTCATTCATTTCCAGTAAAAGTTATATTGTCAAAATCTGTCAAAGTGTTTAAAAATTTGCAGATAAATGTGTACTCTAAATTAAATCAATTGTCGCATGGATTCCTGATGAAATCTCTTGTCAAAAAACAATGTTAAATATGATCGCGACTGAATTTTGTGGTCACATTTACAGTTGTTCAGCTATTTGTTTATTTACGGCCAGACTATTACATGGAATCTATTCATGTAGGCTAGGCTAAACTTTGAAAATCTGATATGTTCAAGACAGCAATATTAAGCATTGGCAGTTAATAATATGCTGATTTAGACACCAAATCCCACCAACAACTCACTACTTTCACTACATTTCTTCATTATGTTGCCAATTAAAGAAATGTGTGCCTCAGTCTTGAATTTAAGCCATGTTTGCATCACAATTTGTTGCCCTGAGTACTTTTAGTTTGACGCTGTCTACATTTTTGCAAATCTGAAAATTATTCACTTTCAAGGGTTCATTTTGGTGTACGTTTTAGATACATGTCCTTCTGGTACACATCCATAAGAAAATGGGGCATCCTGTACACATCACCAGCGAACCACTGACCCAAACCATTCCCTAAACTCCACTTTTGTATTTTCAAGTTACATGTCCTTTTGCATATTTTCTTTTCATGCTTTCTCTCCTTTTTATCCAGATATAGATGTGATATGGTGATGCTTTTCAATAATATTCACCTACTTATTGCCCTTGTATTGTATTTAATTGAGGTTTAAATAATTAAAATATTATCTATCTATTCATCCATCCATCTATCTATCTGTATCTAAGGAGAAAAGGAGGAGGAGAAAAAGAAAAAAGAGGAAGAGGAGAAGAAGAAAAAGGGAGAAAAAATGAGAAAGAAGAGAGGAAGAAAAAGTAAATGAGCTGGTTTGCTTTTTTTCTCAAAGCACTGTTCTGCCTTCCTCTGAGGGATTGAGCAGATTCATGCTCTGATAGTAAACAATCATATTTACTTTTAGACAGATAGGAAGGACGAGGAGGAGGAGAAAAAAAAGGAAGAGAGAATGATGTAAGATATATATATATATATATATATATATATATATATATATATATATATATATATATATATATATATATATATATATATATATATTTATTGTTTATAATGTTATTAATAAATCTTATTCTTTTCCTCTCACACAGAATTAAACATCCTCTGAATGTTTAAACTGCAATAATTTCTCCTTTAACAGACGATGAAAGAGGAGAGCGTGAAGGAGGAGGAGGAGGAGGAGGAAATGAGGTAGGAGGAGGAGGAGGAAATAATGGAAAAGTAGAGAAAGAAGACAAGTAGGGGGAGGAGAAATAAAAAAAAATGAAAGAGGAGATGATAAAGAACAAGGAGAAGGAAATGAGGGAGGAGGAGAACAGGAACAGAGGAGAAAGACTAGAAATATTAGAAGAGAAGAAAAAGAGGAGATGATAAGAGAGAAGGAGAACACTGAGGAAGAGAATGAAAGAGGGAAAAGTAGGAGTAGAGAATAGTGGAAAAGACGTCCGTTTAATGTATAATAAACATACAGTGGAAAAACTCAAATACTGTCCTCATCATTAGCTTTACCTTGATTTTACATTGCTTTTATCTGTTTTTGGAACTGCGCTTTATCAAACTGGAGTGCTCTGCAGCACAAGTGCAACAGTGTACAAATTGAGCTATTTCGAGCAGACTGACTATGCTGTCTGAATGAAAAGAACTCTTTCTTCACTGATAATATGTCCCTGTCAATATCATAAATGTGAAAAGGAACGAAGGTTGTTGGCATCATACTGCACTGCAGTGTTCATTTAACCAGAAACCGCAGCCAAACATGAAGATTTTTGTGGCGGTTTCACTTAATTATAGGCTGAAGCACACATTTCCAATGAGCTTGTGTTGACTGTTGTGTAGCTGTAACGCAGTGTAACATTCACCTAATGTTATATTTTGACAACAGACAATGTATCGCTTTTAGCTGTAAAATATCGCTAATATGACCTTAAAGGGTTACAAAAAAGTTTACATAAAAATGAACATTTATGTATTATTCACTCATGTTCAAGCCAAAATGAGAAGAATTATGGGATGTCTGATTCCACCTTTATCCAGCAAATGCCACCTATGGGTGCAGTCGAGTTTACAGTAAACAGTATCTTGTATGGGAAACTTCAATTCTAAAGAACTGAAACAAATCACTTCATTTGTTAAGCTTGTGCTACAAATAACCAACATACATTTGCCTTTGTATCTATCATAAAATTAGTGCTTGTAGTATCACAAATACATCTGTGGTCACTACGTTTTGTTCCTCCAGATTATTTTTTTTCTTTTTTTCTTTGCTTCCCAACAGTAAGAGTCAAAATACACTCACCGGCCATTTTATTAGGTACACGTTACTAGTACCGGGTTGGACCCCCTTTTGCCTTCAGAACTGACTTAATCTTTCATGGCATAGATTCAACAAGGTAACGGAAATATTCCTCTGAGATTTTGGTCTATATTGAAATGATAGCATTATGCAGTTGATGCATATTTGTCAGCTGCACATCCATGATGCGAATCTCCCATTCCACCACATCCCAAAAGTGCTCTGTTGGACTTGAATCTGGTGACTGTGGAGGCCATTTGAGTACAGTGAACTCATTGTCATGTTCAAGAAACCAGTCTGAGATGACTTGTGTATTTATGACATGACGTGTTATCCTGCTGGAAGTAGCCATCAGAAGATGGGTACACTCTGGTCATAAAGGGATGGACATGGTCAGCAACAATATTCAGGTCGCCTGCGGCTTTGACACAATGCTCAATTGGTACTAATGGGCCCAAAGTGTGCCCAGAACATATTCCCGACACCATTACACCACCACCACCAGTCTGAACTGTTGATACAAGGCAAGATGAATATATGATTTCATTTTGTTGATGCGAAATTTTGACCCTACCACCGAATGTCGCAGCAGAAATCGAGACTCATCAGACCGGCCAATGTTTTTACAATCTTCTATTGTCCAATTTTGGTGAGCCTTTGCAAATTGAAGCCTCAGTTTCCTGTTCTTAGCTGACAGGAGTGGCACCCGGTGTGGTCCAACCTCAAGGTTTGACGTGTTGTGTGTTGTGAAATGTTCTTCTGCATACCTCGGTTGTAGCGAGTGGTTATTTGAGTTACTGTTGCCTTTCTATCAGCTGGAACCAGTCTGGCCATTCTCCTCTGACCTCTGACATCAACAAGTCATTTGCGCCCACAGAACTGGCGCTCACTGGATATTTTCTCTTTTACAGACCATTCTCTATAAACCCTAGAGATGGTTGTACCTGACAATTCCAGTAGATCAGCAGTTTCTGAAATGCTCAGACCAGCCCGTCTGGCACCAACAACCATGGCACGTTCAAAGTCACTTAAATCACCTTTCCTCCCCATTCTGATGCTCGGTTTGAACTGCAGCAGATCGTCTTGACCATGTCTACATGCCTAAATGAGTTGCTGTCGTGTGATTGTCTGATTAGAAATTTGCGTTAATGAGCAGTTAGACAG